GTGTACTGTGACACAGGCAGCCAGACTGATTGACTTGGGTAGGTTTTAATTAATAAAGTTAATGACAAAATTAAAGCAAATAGCCAAACCAACTGAAGATGGCACCTTCCCAGTTGGCTATATTTAATTAACACCAACTAATACATGTTCAGCTAATGTCCTGGAGGACAGACTCTAGCTTCTCCTTTGTGAAAGAAAGCAGAGATGGAGCCGAGGACAAACACTTCCCAAGCAGTCAGGGCATTTTGCTCTGATGACAAGAGCAATTGGAAATTCATTTAAAAATATGTTCATAACAAGTGACAGGCGTGTTCTGAGGTGACTTTGGTGGAAACAATGGTGAAACTGACAAACGTTCTTTGCTGTGGGGGAGGGGCTGTGGGGGGAGGGACACTTTTAAATGTAGGGAACCGCTTTGGGAGAGGGAAGAAAGACAGGGAGCATTTTAAAAAGAAAAAGAAGGAGGAGGAGGAGAAGGAGAAACGTTGCTGGAAACTGCAGGCAGTCAGCAGCCGCAGCCCCTGCAAATGCATCAGCTCCACACTGCTCAAGACTTGGACACATAATACTTCAGACCGCTGATTTGCTATTTTCTTAATTCTGGCTCTTCTTTTTCCATATGAATCAAACAGTCTTTTGTCCTTCAGGGTTTGATTTGATCGCTACTGTTCACATTTCACTTTTGTATTCCTCTTCCTATACCATTACTCATTGAGTGCCCCGTGAAATTACAATCGTACATTTTCAACTCAGCAACCCATTTGCAGTGCAAAAAATAGGGTCTAAATAATGGCTGAATTAGCCCTACTGGACAGTTTCAGATGTAACACTCTGTAATAATTATATTGCAGGCTGGATTAGGATGCTATTATCATAATCTGGACGTTTACAATTATCTGTAATTTGCAAAGATGCGCCAGGTCTTGATTACAGCAGCTTTTTTTTTTTTGTATCACGCTAACCATCACTAAACAGTGACAGTAATAACAGCTAATTTTGCTGGCAATATAAGAGGTGCTGGGGTGTGCAAACAATTTCACACCTGGATGTGCTCACTCAACCAAGAATATAGACACAGAGCTTCTGCCCTGAGACTCAGAAAAATACTCTCCTGTGCTTCAGCTCAGTATAGATTTCTAGACCCTGATCATTGCTTAAGAGATACTCACTGGGGTAAGTTTTCATTTCTGGCGTACTTCTAGGCACCGGTTTTTTATTTCTCATCCCACACTCTCTGTGCTGTATGTAATGTGTTGCTGTGATTTCCTTGAACTGCAACTTTGTTTTCTAGGATTTGGTTCTGACCTTTGGTTTTCCTTTAACAGTAACAGAGTTGATCTGGTGAAAATGGGATCCTTAAGAACCTGATTTGCCTGTCTTGCTTCTGTGCTGCTGATGGGTTTGGTGTAGTTTGTGACTGGAGACTAGGAAAAGACCAGGTTTCTGGGAGACATGGAAGGAGCCTGAGAGTCCAAGCTAAAATCTATCAGAAAATTGTTACTTACAATTGTTTAGGTAAATATAATGAGGTTTTTACTTTTACATGCGGCTGTGATTTTAGGTTTTGAGGTATCAAGAGATCAGACGGAACTGGCTGTGTGGCATGCTTCTTTGCAGTCAGGTATGCAGATGCATGTTAGCAGACACAGGTGTGCCCGAATCGCTGGACTTTGCGGCCCCTTGGAACATCTTCTTTCCAGCTGGGGGAAGTTTGTAGATTAACTGGCGTCTGAAACCCTTCAAGGCTGTTCCTTATGGCCTCTCTTTAGAGCCGTGGTGTGTGTGTGTGTGTGTGTGTGTGTGTGTGTGTGTGTGTGTAATGGGGGAGGGGAAAATATCGAGATCTCGGACCTGCTTAATCCAAATGCTAAGGTTAGAAGGGCATAATTGGTTGAGACACAGAAGTGATATAAGAAGCCAAGGAACCGGTCTAATCTATGTACCAAGGAAGACACTAGCAAAAAGCTGTGCTGTTCTATCTATAGATGACGCTGTTTCCTGGTCCTGTAGATTTTATAAGCAGCTAGAAATGTCTAGTACAGGAGCCCACAATGTCTGACTTCCCCACCCTGCGGAGAAAAGCTTTCTACCATGGCAAGAACCTTTGCACTAAGCCTAACCCAAAGATAAGGAGGTGCTTATTTATCCGTGAGGAGGAGAAATTGTCACTCTCCTATACCCTTACCCAATAGCTCTGCTCCCCACCCCACCCCACCCCTTAGTTTGGTCAGAACCCGGCTTTGGAACTCAAACTCTATTGCCTAGGAGGAAGTTTGAACGTGGGGAGGCGCAGTAGATACCTTAACTGGCAACGCCTTTTACCCACGCCCCTCCTACCAATCCCTCCCTCAGGGAATCAGTTTCCTAGGGGGTCAATACATTTTCAAAGAGAAAATATTAACCCTTGAAGTTCAGAAGATCCGGTGGGAGCCCAGTTCTATGGAGAGTTTCAGGGGGACAATCTCCCAGAATTTATGTGATTAAGCTGATGCTAAGAGAGAGATGGGGTGAAGAAATACCATCACCGGCCTCCAACATAGTAACATACATTGGCTGGGTTTCAGAATTCCACACACTCACAGTGGTTTGGCATATATTTGGTAAATTTTTTTAAGGAAAAAATTAGTGTTGGTTTGGATATATGGTAGCTTTCTCTCTGACATAATTTGAATAATTCAGCAAAGCCCCACTACCAGCTGTACTTCTGCAGCCTCTTCCATTCTTTTCAGCATTATAATTTTGGTTAATTTTCAATTTTAGGTCCTACGTCTCTGCAATTTGTGTATGAATAACAGAATAATTTCCCTCTTTTGTTTCGCCTTTCCTGTTCCTGAATCTAAATAAAGATGGCTTTTTAGTATTAAAAGTGGAAGAAAATTACAGGTAATTATCTTTGACGGTAAAAACGCTGTAATCAGCGGGCTACATGAAAAATTACTCTAATTATGGCTGCATTTAAGAGAATGGAAAAAAACCTTCTTGTGGATAAAAACCTTAAATTGTCCCCAATGTCTGCTTCAAATTGGATGGCACTGCAGCTGGAGGCTTTGTTCAGAATTGATCCTGGGGAGCTACGAACCCAAAGTTTCACAGTAGGAAGGGGGAAAAAAGAAAAGAAAACATTTTTCCTAATGTAACAATGCGAATGCTAGAAAATGACAAGACTGATCGGTTTTAAACCATTCTGAAGACTGACTGAGCGTGGAAGTTGCTCAACAAAAAAAGGAACGGGTATATTGGTAAGTAGTCTTTGCCTTGTGTCTAATTATAGTGACTGTCCTTTTGCACGACTGTATGTCGCTGTCATTATATGGAGCACTCTGAGTATCTCTATTGACTTCTGATAAATGGCTCAGTGGTTTCAAGGTTCATAATTTGAAGGATGCCCAGGTCTGTAGCCATTAATTCTCACAGTATGGGGCTTCCTGCTTGTGTGACGAAAGGACTTTTCCTTTCCATTATTTCTTTGCTTTCCACAAGATCGGAAGGATGCGTTTCTCCCAGGATAGCACATTTTCCTACCTCGCTAGCTTGCAGTGGGTTTTCAACATTAAGTAATCAAAATTGTGCACTTTGCTTTCTGCGTTTGTTATTCTTTCCTCCTCTTAATTAATTCATTAATTTATTTGTTTATTTATTTTTTTTCTGCTTCCAAAGGCAAATATAGCTTTACTGTTTTGTCTGGAAAAAGGGAAAGAAGAATATTCAGATGCAGTACTGGAAGTGCCTGAATGTCTAGACATTAGCCTGGGAATACGTTATAATAATGCTTTAAAAATACAAAAGTGTATATGAATCACAACAAAATTAAAATGAAAGGTTGGGAAAACATGCACAGCCCGTGCTAAGGTCCCTAAGACAAAGGCTTGTGGTGCAAACTAACATCTCTTCAGGCACTTGCTAAGTCTGTAGAGAGCACCCCATATTAGGAATCAGAAATTATTTTAGGAGAGGTGAATATATATATATATACACACACACATGATAAAGAGGATGAAGGGACAGGGACACTTGGAGAAACAGAGGACACTCCCAACATTTTGTGGCTTTTACTCCATATATGAAAGAAGACAAAAACATACAAAGTATATATACAACTAAAATTCAACAATATATACAGAAATGTTTCTTGATATAAAGGTCCCTATTAGCTTAGTGAATGCCACTATTCACCTAGGAGAGGTGTCAAAGCAATAGAATGGTGATTTTGGTTGTTTCCTTGGTCTTTCTTGATTCAGAGTTTGGAGGTGGGTTATGCAAAGAGCATCTTTCTTGTTGCTGTTACTGTTTGTATTTAGTTGAATCATCGATCCAGGTCATTGCATTTAGGTAAGACATGCAGCGTTTCCTTTGTGCAATGTTCTAATTTGACAGCCAATTTCTCTTCTTTCTTTAGAGAAGGGATACTGGGGCTTCTTCTTCTTCTTCTTCTTCTTCTTCTTCTTCTTCTTCTTCTTCT